TTCTAAAATATTATTTCTATCTTCTTTTAAAAAATTTAGTTCACTTTCTTTAAGCTCCAACTCTTCTCTTAAACTTCGTAACTTTTTAGTAATAGCCACCAAGAAAAATTTCATTTCTTTATCTTTTTCTTTTTCCTCGTCCTCTACAATATCCATACTTAAAACATCTTTGTTTATTTCAATTTCTTCTTTTTCTTTTTTTTTTCTTTTTCTTCTTCTTTATTTTCTTTTTTATCTTTCTTTTCCACCTTTAACAACTGCTTATGTTTTTAATAAAAATATGTAGACCTTTGTGTTCGTGGCATCTTTCTACTTTCGTAAGTTACGATAGTGTTACAACCCCTGACTATCACTCTATTTATATCGATTATCTAATGATCATCAATTTTCGAACATTCTTAAACTCTAAAATTTTCCAAATTAATATCTTGTTGATGTGGAGCAGTGATTCGAGTAGTGATTGTCTGATCAACAGTCTCAAGGTTCGAATTATGCCTAGGGTGGGCTCATACAGATATATTAGGGAAAACATACTAATATACCTAAGGCCCTTAGGCCGTAATGATACATTCAAGATGTTATTTTTTGTTTTTATATTATTCTATTAATTTTACTTTATTTCTTCTTTTTACTATACTTTATTCGCTTTAAACTTAAACACTTTATTTTATATTTAACAAAATGATTATCAAAATTACAAGGACAGATTTACTAAATCTATTGGACAATTAATAACAATATCAGACCCAGTGCACCATGATGATAGGAACTGACTATAAACTTTAAACATTTATTTTTATTTTTATCTATTTATCACAACATAACTCTTTCTCTTTTATTATCTTATTTTTCTCTTTTACTATACTATTTATTTTATTTTCTTTTTTCTTTTTTTTCTTAAACTTCTCTTTTCACGATTCTTTTCTTTTTTGCTTCTTTAAACTTTTCTTTTAAATCGAAATTACTTAACTTATTTAATCTTTACAAAACTATTACTATTACTATCTTCTTTTTCTTTCTTCCTTTTTATCTTTGTTTAAACTCTTTTAAAAACCCTATACTTATTTATATTACAAAAAATTTACATCTTACATATCATATAGAACCTCTATAAAACTTTATACTTATCCAGGACTCATCTAGATTTGTATAAAGTTTTTCAAATCTAGGTGAGTCTTGGCCACTCTAGTAGGTTTAGGTCGCAGATAAATTAGTCTGAGCTCTTATTCTTGCATATAATTTATATTTATTTGTTTTTATACAAGTTAAGTTTTTTATATAATTTTATTATGTAACTACTTATATAAATTATTCAATAAAGATATGAGCAAGGCCTTGTCTTAATATTAAAAAAAAAAAAAAATTAAATCTGTGGCCTTGATGTTTTGGAATAAAGTTTTAAACCCATAACTTGGATTTGATTTGAAGATGCTAAATGCTTAAATAACCTGAACTTTTTTTGCTGGTGATGAAAGACGAAACCCAAATTCAAAATGATGCTAAAAGAAATGTCTGATGAAGAACTTTTAAATGTAGTTTTTCTGGCATTGCAGTTCCTAATAAAGTTATTGACCCAACTCAGCAGCATCAACGGTTATCTAGTAAAATTAATTGCTTGTGGCATATAAATCTTACCAAACCAACAGTGTCAGCAGAGGTTGGCGTTACAAGCATTACAGAGCAATACAATCACCCTTTGTTGCATGATGTAGATTTGTACATACCTAAATACCAAAGATTATCTGATGATATAATAGAAGACATTAAATTTTATATTACTAAAGGGAATATGGGAGCCAAACAAATATATTCTTTGTTGGTTTCTAAATTCTTTGACCAAATTTTATTGAAACAGGATCTTTACAATGCTATTAAAAAGTTTAGATCGCCTTTAAATAATCCAATTGGTTCAATATGTATTTAACTCTTTATGTAGTTGTGGATAGTAATACTAAAAGCAGATTAGTTGCACAATGTTTATCTGAAGACGAAACAATTGAAAGTTATAATTGGTTTTTGAAATGTATTCTAGAAGCAACTTACAATAAACAGCCATCCTCTTTATTTTTGGATGCTAATCCTGCCTTGATGAATGCAATAGGTTCAAATATGCCTAATACTAACCATTTTCTTTGTATATTTCATATACAAGAAAATTTAAAAAAAAATTGCGATGTAAATTAGGAAAGGATTATGATGTATTTTATAAGGAGTTTTTGTATGTAAGGAATAGTTTCTTTGAAAATGAATTTTATTGTCGATGGGCAAAATTAATTGAGAGATATCCACAATTACAAGAGTACCTTAACCAAACTCTTTAGCCAAATCATCGTGCATGGGCAAAATGTTTTCAAATTAACATTTTTACAGCTGAAATACAAAGTACTCAAAGGGTCGAGGTTATAAATAGGTTGATCAAAGAAGGGACCAATAGTACATCTTCACTTTGTACATTGCACAACCAAATTCAAAAGCAATTAGATAATGAAGCCCAATAGGCCCGTAATAACAATTTTCTTCAAAGTCTTCCAACTAATGATTTACTATCAGTCTTAGAGCCAGTTTTTTCTAAAGTATTTGAACAAATAAAAAGATATCCTACACCTCATATTCAATCAATTCAACGACAACAAATTCTTGGTGCTTTATTATATTGTTTAAAGTTAGTCTCTAAAGATTCTATTAATATTGTATTGAATGATGAGAAGATTGATTGTGATATAGAATTTCTTGAAGATCAGCTTGAAAGACTACAAACAACTTTAAGCTATTTGTTAAATGGTGTGCGATTAAGTGATATTGTAGAGATTTGGGAGTTGGTTGGTCTTACAAAAATATACAAACATTATGTTGTTTTGCTAAACGATGGTGGTCACTTGTGTATTTGTTTAGCTATTATCAATTGTGGGCTTGTATGTTCACATTTTTTCATATTATGACATGCTCACAAGCTGCAAAGTTTAATATCAATCTTATCACCAAGCGATGGTATTTAGAAAGTATGAAAGATCAGGTTAATCAATTGAATTTACAAAAAGAATCAGTAGAAATAGTAACTCAATTTCAACAGGTTAATAATAACCAATTCATAGTTGATGATTTTCATATTTTTAATCAACTTAGAGTAACAAATACTCTTACAACGAAAAAAAATCATCAAATTTAAAAAAAGGCGATGTATTCACATGGGTTTGGAAAGTAAAAAAAGCTCTTAATATAGCACTTGATTTGGGATATACTGATGAATTTGTTGATATGATTGATGGCTTTATTACACACAAAAAAAATTTTATTGAAGAAACAGAAAATATGAATATTGCAGATCCTTTAGTTTGTAAACATCATGGACGGCTATCTAACAAGCAAATAAAGGCATCATCAGAAGGTGATTATAGCAAAATCAGTAATAGTGCTCTCAATTTGTCTGATTCTAATTTGTATGTACAACCATTACGACAATCAGAAAATACATCTGCATCAAGAGTTTCTTTTTATACTATTAATAAAAACACTGCAACAACACAAGTTATTAATGATAATAGTGTTAAACATAAGTATATATGTCAGTTATATGGTGAATCTGGGCATAATTCTAAAGTTGTAATAAGAATGGTTAGTTAATTATGTGTTGAATTGCAATATATTGAGAGTATGAGTATGATAGAAAATTTTATTAATTATATATTGCACTATAATATCTATCGTTCTAATCAAGTCTAATCTATTATAAATTAAGCTTTTGATACTAACTTAGAAATTGTTATGGCTAATGCTATTGCTTGATTAATATTAAAAACTAATAAAACTAATAATTAATTACTTTAATAGACACGTTTAGCATTAGCCATAATAATTACTTTCTTTAAGCTTTATAGTATATGCTAAACTTTTTGCTCTGAGATATTAGTTAGGCGTATTTTCACAATGTTGTGTATTTATATAGGCATTTGGTATAAATTAAGTGGAGCTGGCAAGCATTATATGACTAGTAATACCAGTCTAAAAAATTTTACGCTCTTGTTAATTTAGTGTTAAAACTACACTATATAAAAATTTCTATGATTAGCAAGTGTAATATAGCCTTGTTTTGTTAAATCGTATAGAAATTTTTATTTGTCAATCATATATAAAGTAGTTTAATCACATGATTGGTGATATCACCGCTGGTTATAGTTACTAAAATACTTTATTAAATTTGCACTTATTTAATTCTTCTGATATCACCAACTTACTCATAAACTCTCTTTAGTTTTTACACTCTCTGGCTTAGTACCAATTGATATTATTAATACATTAAGCGAGTATACTACATCTAGCAAAACAGCAACATCTTTTACTATTAAACTCCTTCTCAAAATTAATCGTCAAATATACAAAAAATTATAGATCCCTTATTGTATATCAAGATCGCAAATTGATTCTACAACTTTATTCCCACCTTCTTCTATATATACCCCTAACATTTTTAATATCTCTAATTAGCCAAACATTGAATCTAACTTAATTAATCTTTTATATAAAATTAAAACATAGTATATCTACTAGATCAAATATCTAACATACTCATCTCATCTCATTACTAACACTCAAATCTAGATAAGCCTTGGCCACTTTGGTTGGTTTAGGCCACAGATAAAAAACTAGACTTGTCTATTAGACAATTTTAGTTAGTCTAAGTTCTTATTCTTAGCATTAGGTTTATACAATAAAATTTTTTCTGATTTTGTAAGAAATTTTG